GGAAACTTATCCTGAGTCTAACTGACGGATCTAGTTGTAGGACTGATTTTGACATTCAAGCAGAAGCAGAAATTTTTGTCTTCAAAACAAAATTGTCTATTCAAATCTATTAAACCACCAGACAAATGTACTTTAAGTAAAGCATAAAAGTCATTGCTGCAGCCCTTATGGAACAGTGACTAAGGTGTTGTCTTTGTTGTTGCTGGTATCACTGACTGTCTTTTTTTTTTCCTGTCTCAGATCCAGAACGCTGATGACGTGTTGATCTCACCACTTGAGAGGTTTCGTAAGGAGCAGATTGGAGCTGTTAAGGTATATCTAAAATTGTTACAATTGATGGGTAACTTGAGAGTTAAGTAGATTATTAGCACAAAGTGACTGAACAAGTAGTCACAAGGCCAATAGGTGAAGTTCAGTTCATTAGTCTTCTAACACTGTGGGTGGTGGCTGAACACATCATCAGTGGTCAGAGAATTAAATACATTGAGATAAACGAAAGAACACAGTCCAGTGTCACTAACAAGGTCATGGGAACAAGCACTGGGAGGGAAGTCAGGGAGCATGTCACAGACAGAGAGATAGTTGAACTCACTAAGGCAGTGTAAACACAAAGTGAGTCTGGTGTCTGGTTTCAGCAGCTGTCTCAAGCCTTATAATTCAGATTTTCTCATTTTTTACTTTGCCTTCTTTTAGGCAGAAACAGAGGCAGCATCACACATTAGGCACGGTTTTAAAAAAAACAGGATTGGTCACAGCTAAAATTAACCCTGAAAGTGAAATCACAGCTTGTTTTTCTGTGCTGATCGAAGCAACTCCTCAGCGTGTAGAATGTAGGAGGAGTGTGTGAGCAGTACATCTTCACACTGATGATGTTGAGTAAAAAAAGAGGGTGGTTGAGCATGTGGAGTTTGGAGGTGCAGCTGTTTCAGAAAAGAGTTCTCATCCTAAATATTTTGGCAGAGTCTCTTCATTAGATTATTAATGATCCCTCTGCAAATGTCATAGCTTTGTGATTCCTTGAAGCTGGAATGTTAACTTATCCCAGAATTATCTGCACTTGATGTCTAGTTAGATTTTTTATTTACTCACTTTTTCAGTGTCTATTTACTGGTTTGAATTATAATTTCTAATAAGTAATAATACTGGTAAAGTATTTTTACAAGTTATTTTATGGCTGTTTGTGTTCCATTAATTACTGGAACACTGATGTATAGGAAGCTCATATGTACAGTATTTGGGTATTGGAATAAGCCATTCATGTGTCATATTGACACTGGTGTCTCAGCCCAAGTGAAAGAGACTAAACTGGGACTCATGTAGCTGCTGTCCTCTTCACATGTCTTCCTTAGGAGGGAAAGAAGCAGTTTGACAAGGAGACAGAAAGGTACTACTCTGTTTTGGAGAAACACCTCAGCCTTTCCCCCAAAAAGAAGGAATCACAGCTCCATGAGGTAAACTGTCTGATTCTGTTCCTCCCACGTGGGTTGGGTAACACACAGTGCTGTAAGTGTGTTGTGGCTGGTTTTGTTGCAGGCTGACTCACAGATGAATAAGGACAAGCAGGTTTTTTATGATGCATCACTGCAGTATGTTTTCAAGATCCAAGAAGTGCAGGAGAGAAAAAAGTTTGAATTTGTGGAGCCGGTGAGTTCACATTCATACTCTATGCTCCTGTTTTTTATGCCATTTTAACACAATTCAACTATGTACTTTCACAGTGGGATGCACCTTTAATTCTTAATACATGAGGGTTTTGTCTCCTCTGTCAAATTATCATTTTGTTCCTTTTGATTTTTCTGAGCTGCTGACCAGTAGAGGTAAAAAAAAAAGTCACTAATACACTGAATTTCACCAGAGGAAAATAGATTTGGTGAGTCAATGTTGTGTTGCATGTAAACAATGATGTAAACCTCAAGTCATAATTGCAGCCATGCAGCCAAGCCTATAATGATCATGTTTGTGCATACACACATGATTAGGAAAAGTGTGGTTCTGAAAAACATAAATTACACACACTGTTTTGACAGTGATAGAAATGTTTTAATGATCCATATCTGTAAAGCCCACTTCCTGTTGCTGGAGCAGCACTTCCTGCATGGAGATCTCCCGTGCCTGACAGGCAGGAAACTTTTTGTTGTAATGTAAACAAGGCCTGCAAACCAAACAACATTTAGAGTTCTGGGGGATTTTCTCATATAGAGGATATTTTGACTGATTGAGCAGATGACTGACAATCATTCTTTTGTAGTCCTCTCCTTATAATCTATACTCCCAGGGCCCCAGCTAACATTTTTCCTCCGGATTTCTCCCTCTGTTCTTCAGTTATTAGCCTTCCTGCAAGGTTTGTTTACATTCTACCATGAGGGTTATGAACTGGCCAGTGAGTTTGAACCCTTCAAGCTGCAGCTTCAGTTCAACCTGCAAAATGTAAGTGTGTAAATTTACTATAGACCTCTAGACTCCATCTGGACATGACTTTCACAAGGTGTTTGTAACTAGTTTGCTCTACCTGCTCTGCCTAGCTCTTAAGCTATTAAGAGAAAGTTGCCTCAACAGTTCACATACTGTAGTTTTTGATCAGTTTACCTGGAAAGAATCAGAGAAAAAATAAATTCACTGGGCATGATCAGTCTGTTCGGTTGCCCTTTAATTTCTGTAAAACACAGTGTTAACTCTCCAGAGATGATTCAAGTGCACAATTCCTGACTTTTTCAAATATTTTGTTTGCATGTATGCAAGTCTCCTTCCAATGTAGTTTCTCATGTTTTGTTAAGGCCCGCAATAACTTTGAAAGTACACGTGCTGAGGTTGAGAGGCTGATGAAGAGGATCCGATCTGCAGAAGAAGATTTCAAAGCTCCCAGTTGCTTTACCATGGAAGGATATTTGTATATACAGGAGAAACGTGAGATACACAAAAATCCTATTGTCCCCTCTCTTTCTTAGTCTCTCTCTCACTAATACTGTGAAAAAAATCTAATGCCATTACACTACACGCCTTGTTTCTGTTTAAACACATACGCTGCATATGTGTTATAGGTCCACTGGGCAGTGTGTGGACAAGATACTACTGTACTTATGAAAAAGGCTCCAAGATGTTCACTATGAGCAGCACAGAGGCCAGACCAACCAGCAGACAGGTGCGCCACTAGCATAGATAAATAACCAATCACTAAAGTTCGTGATAGGCTTCATCACTGCTGAGCAATGTTCAAACCATGCCTCAGTTTTTGTTTCCTACCTTTCATATTGCCATTTATTTCTGTTCTAGCATTAATATGCACTCTGAAAATCAACTTATGCAGGCCTGAGTTACATTATTGTCATATGGGGATGTAATTCTAAAAATTTGTGGGAACTCGATGTTCAGGAAGTTCCTACCAGCACTTGATGCATCAGCAAGAATTAGAATGTTTAGAATTTTTGCTTTTGACACAACATGTGAATTACCCCACCCAAAATAGTGTCAAAGTTTTGAAATTTAACTTTGGTGGTGTATTGATGCAACTTGAAAAGTAGGAAGCTCAATAGTTGAGAGGCTAAAATGTTGAAAAACACCAGTATTGACTTAAATATATTGAGCAACATCATTTTATTTGCTGCAGTATCAAAAGATTTCATGAGAATCCTGAAAGACCTTAACACCACATGTAGCGGTACTCCTTAGCCTTTAGTGCCGCTTTACGGTGCAGGTCTTATGCAGTAAGTATGACACGACATAAACAAGTTCCACAGTCCAGTTCTTGGTTTTTACAAAGGATTTACTAAATAAAAATAAACATACAAATAAAACGTTTCCTGGTTGACAAATTACTTGCTTATAACTCGGTCAGAAAAACTGTGTGCTCAGAGCCTGACCGTCCGAACCTTCCAAAAACAAAAAACACATCCGGTCACATGGTTAACAAACAACAATATGCCATAACATAACATGTCTAGAGCACATTGTATAAAACAAACTTATTATTCCAAAACATAAAGCTATGTTGGCTATGTTTTCTTAATAACTACGTAAACTAAACATTTTTCAGATTGGCTCTTACACCACATGTTGAGTGCATATTGCAAATGCATCTCTCTGTTAACAGAATGGTGTGGTGAATGGTACGCCAGAGATGTTCAGGTTGCGCTCGTGTGTCAGAAGGAAGACCGATTCAATCGACAAACGCTTCTGCTTCGACATCGAGGTGGTGGAAAGGTGAGAGGGAAACATGGCAGAGAGGCAGTCTCTAATAAACTGAGATGTGACAGCTGTTGGATTGCACTTGAATAAAGCAATCTCTCTTCCTCTGCAGACATGGTGTCATCACCCTGCAAGCTGTTTCCGAGGCCAACAGGCGGCTGTGGATGGAGGCAATGGACGGAAAGGAACCTGTATGAATGCATCCATTATTAAACTACACTACTGCAGTATCATCAAGAAAGCATGTGTGACAGATTGTGACAGACTTTCTCTACAGTACACTGGCTTCTTCACAAGAGCAAGTCTTACAAGACTAACAGTAATGCAAAAAAGTGCTGACAATATATATATATATTTTTATTATGTTGAAGACACTTTTTAACCTAGTATTGAAAAAATAATGTTTGAAATGACAGTCTTTAATATACTGCATCTTTGTTTTGTCTTTCTTCAGATCTACACTCTGCCTTCTCTGCTTAGCAAAAAAGAGGAGAGTAAGTAATCTCATTTAATCTGTTCTTAATTGATACAACTGCTTTAATCCTGAAGAAATGAATTAATTAACACATACAGTATTATTTTCTTCAATGTATAAGATATTATGGTAATTTTTTTTTTTTTATATACGTACAGCATTTCTCAATGAGGCAGGCTTCAATTTTGTTAAGAAATGCACTGAGCTGATTGAAACAAGAGGTATTCCTCACTCTGAAAACATGCATGAATATGAGAATACTGTATCTACAGTGTTGTTTTATTAAGTATGTTGATACATGTCTGTGTAGGCATTACCACCCTGGGACTGTACAGGATTGGAGGAGTGAACTCCAAGGTGCAGCGGTTGATGACTAGTGTGTTTGGTAAGAAGTGCCCTGCTTTCTTATATATTTTCTATGTATTTTCCTGTATATGTAGTTATTTTTCTGCACTTGGAAGGTGTATTCCAGCACAATGAACCAAACACAGGTGTATTTAAAAATCTGTCACTACAGATCATCATTTATTATCTACTTTCCTATAGCATCCACAGCTCCTGCTGACATGCAGTTAGATGCAGACGCCTGGGACAACAAGACCATCACCAGCGGCCTGAAGAATTATTTCAGGTAACTTATAGCACAAAGCAGACTTTTTGAATAAAACGCCTCATGAATTACAAACTCCTAATTTCAAATGTGCATGCAGGTGTCTGGCAGAACCACTACTGACCTACAGACTGCATAAAGAATTCATCAAGGCTGCAAGTAGGCACAGACAGTGTGTGATAGATGCAATCTGTGATTGGATTGACACATTATGTCACCCTCTCACAACTGAATCATGTCCCTTTCTTTGTTTCACAGAGTATGATGACCAGAAGTATAGAGTGAGAGCAATTCATGCTCTTGTACACAAACTACCAGAAAAAAACCGAGCAATGTTGGACCTCTTAACCAACCATCTACACAAGTATGCACAGATAAACACATGCTGCACTTTGGAAATGTCCCTTCAGCTTTGAGAGCATCTCATTTTCCTAAAACATTTGCAAAAATACATGGTTATTGTGTCTATGTATCTGTCTCTGTCTGTGCAGGGTGTCCTCTCACAGTGACCAGAATCTGATGACTGTGTCCAACCTGGGAATGATCTTTGGCCCCACATTGATGAGGTCACAGGAAGAGACGGTGGCTGCCATGATGAACATCAAGTTTCAGAACATTGTGGTGGAGATTATCATCGAAAACCACCACAAGGTGCAAGCAGGCAGTCACATGCACGCATATACATAAACATGCACACACCTAACAGACATGTATATCTTACTGTATATTCCTTTCAGATCTTTGGTGAGGCCCCAGACCTGTCCGTACCATTACCTCAGGCTCCATCCTCTCGGTCAACGTCTCGGAGGAACAAAGCCATCTGTCTGTCATCTGGAAAGAGGAAGGCTCGTCTCTACCCTCCTGCACTGTGCCTGGCAGACAACGACAGTGAGTCTCTCTGCAGCTTCCAACTCCTTTATTTCTTTATCTCATCCCTCGTGAACACTTGCAGTGGTGGACAGTAACCAAGTACATTCATTCAGATAGAACTGTAAGGTACTTAACTCCAGTATCTCCATGTTAATACTTTTCAGAGGGAATATTTAATTGTTGTTTCTAACTTATACTGAAGATATTTTATTGTCGTACTTAATTTATACTTTTGTTTTTCTGTTATTGTTTAGTTCTTTATTATTGTAAAGTGACACTGGGTGTTTTGAAATACAATGTATTATTATTTATCTGAGAGTTATGGCTATTATTTACATTTCACAGTCATATTTTAAATTAAAAACATATAATAAGATTATGAAAAACAGTCCATTAAGAATTAAGACAGCAGTCCCCATGATTTTTGGCACATTTGTCATTCTGCAAGTGTAATGTCAACTCTCAAAACTGAAATATTAAAGCTTCAAAGGAGCACATTAATGCACCAACACATTAGAGTTTCTAAATCAGCCCGTGCTCTCACCTGCATTATGCATTTATGACATGATACTGTCATAAGAGAAAGAGTTTGTAAAAATAGGTCAAAGGTCTCATAAGTATACACTTGAAAATACTGGACTACAACCATTGAGAAGTGGCTAGAAGCTATATATTCACATTGTCATTCAGTCTCTTTTTTTATGTGACTAGTTTCCATTTCTCCCTCCAGGCGACACGTTCAGTAGCAGCCCCAGCACAACGCCGATGGGCAGCCAGGAATCTCTGTCCTCACACTCATCAGAAAAGAATGGATTGTCTCAGACCTCTCCTCCGTCATCTCCTGCTGCCGAATCTGGCTCACCTTCCAAAGCGCCTGCGTCTTCTCCTGCAGCTCCTTCCTGCTCCCCGTCCCACAGCTCCTCCAGTGGAAAGGATCAGAGAGAACTGACAGACAGCGCTACCTCCCCTCACCTCACGCCTTCTTCCTGGACGTCCTCTCAACTAAATCCAGCCCAGCAGACTTCCTCTGTGTCCTCTTCAGCATCCTCTTTACTCTCTGCTGAGAGGAATTTGACGGTCAAAGGAAACGCCACTGCCTCCTTGTCATCTGTAAAGCAATCTAGCTCTCCTTCCAGAGCCTCCTTGTCCACCGCCTCCATCCAGCACTCCTCATTTGAGTGTGCCTCCTTTCTCAGGGAGGGTCGGCCTGTTCAGAGAGTGTCATCCGTCTCCTCTCTGAAGAGCACTCATTCCATGGATCAAAATCAGGCATCTAGCACCTCCTCCACTGTCACAGAAACCAGAGCGATGGACTCTACCTCTCCTTCTCGACAGCAAAGGACTGCTTATGGCACTGCCTCCTCTTCCTCCTCCTCCTCCTCTTCCTTGTTTCCCTATCAACTTTCTGCATCTTCCTCTCTCACCTCCCTACACATCTCTGAGGGTACGTATGTCTTCTTGCAGTTTGCAGCAAGATAAAATTTCAGGATAAAGTGTGTTGACTGTCCTGTCCCTGATTTGGTTCAGTCTGAACTTCCTGCTTTTCTGTTACAGATTACAAAAGCTGTCATGGATCGGTACATAGTCTCATGTCACTGGACCCTCAAGAGGCAAAACACACACATAAAACTTCACACATCCGCAGTGGCTCTGATCTGACCATGAAACATGTTCTTGCCACATCCAGCAACGGTTACCAGAGGCCTGGGTCACTGTGAGTGTCTGTGAAATAGATCATACAGAGCTCTAATCATGTAGAACATTTGTTTGTGCGTGCTTTCATAGAAGTAAAGAGACAGATCTCAGTAACTAAAGAAACTGCCTCGTGCTTGGAAACATTACAAATTTTACACATTGTGTTCAGCTGAAATAAAACTGAAGCACAAATCAGGAATGATGATATTTTTTTCTGACTGAACTGAGATGTGTCTGCACTATTGAAGAAAAAACTGTTTAACTATTTTGTTGCTGACATGCTCACTCACTCTTTCTTAGCGACAGCTGCAAATTATCTCAGGATATGTGTACAGAGCTATGTTGCTACTGCTGGTGACGGTATGTGTTTGTGTGTTACAGATTATCAGTCACACTACCACAGCGTGAGAGTTCAGTGTTCTCCTCAGCGTTAGACATATGTTCCTCAGGAAGGTGTGTGGATGTTTAAGTTGTTTGTGGCGCAGCCTTTTTATTCTCGAAGCTATCATGTGTCAGTGCTTCTTATCAAATCACTGAAGCCTGAAGTCTACACAAGCAAAGTTAAAGCATTGACAATTGAAATTCACTTTCTAAATCACTCTCTTTACTGATTCTATTTTTTCTCTTAGGGAAGCAAAAGCTCTGTACTCGTGTGAGGCAGAGCACAGCCATGAGCTCAGTTTTCCTCAGGGGGCGTTGTTCTCAAATGGTAAGAAAGCCTGAGGGATATTTGGCTCCATTTACACCTGGTATTAATATGTGAACTATGTCTGGATGATGACATAGTATGATCCATGGATATTTGCATTTACATCTAGTATTAAAGTCCATTCTCATTATGCTTTGTGATACATGGACATGAATAAATGGACCAGGTGTTAAGGAGCCACATTTATAAAAGTAATCTGAAAATCGTCTCCATATAATGCATGTTTTGTTGATGAAATTTCATTAGAATGTTTCTCCTCAAAATGATCATTTAGTTGCTTATAGTTCAAACTGTTTTACCGGCTTCAAAGCTACAGTATGTAACACTGACGTTATCAGTATTTTCCAGTGATTCTCTGAAGAATGGCTACACTACATTTCAACAAATCAAATATCTTCTATCAGAAGTCACTGTCAAATCCCTTTTATGTTTGGAAATTCCATAACCTGGACTAGAGTTTAATTTAAAGGTCTGTGGGTCTGACTAATGCTTGGCTGCTGAATGCACCAGCAGTGGGATAGTTAGTTTACTGATCATTTATGTTGTTCATGTAGGAAGTGTGCAGAGTAAAGTTTAGATCTGGTTTTGCTAACATAACCAGAACAACCCCCCTCTTTGCCTGCACCCACACACCCAACTCAACCCTTCATCTACTCAGGCTATTTCAGGCTAACTTTAATGAACTCTAGTCTAAAATTTACATACCAAGTCTTAAGAACATCATGGGTGTCTGTGTGAGTCATTATAAAAAATAAAATGTGATTGTTTTATACATGAAAATTTTTGTCTTGATTGCTGCAGTGTGCCCGTCTGTGGAACCAGGTTGGCTTCAGGCGACATACAACGGCAAAACAGGCCTCATACCTGACAACTACATCACCTACATCTGACTGACCTGATGATGCCATCACCGCATCACTGAATAACACAAAGCCTAACTTAGATTTTATGGATCTGCGGCGCATACAGTAATACTCCATGCTGCTGATCAAAGCTTTAATATACCGATATAACTGTGGCTGGGTCTGAATGATGTGTACATCTGTAACTGAACCATGTTATGTGTTATTTTACCAGCTATAATACGGTAGATGTTAATACCTGACTTGCTGGCTGACGGTGCCTCTGCTCACACATGTCATCTCACTTAATCAGCATAATCAGATCTGCTTTCATGTTTGTGTTCAGAGGATGCTACATGAAGTTTGTCTGCAAGGTACATGTAAATCACATTTTTCTCTCAGTGTTGCTAATTTATGTTTGTAAATGATCGTATTAATTTTATATTTGTGTCCAGACATGAAGTGTTCACACCTCTGTGCCAAGAACAGTATGAATTTGTGGTCTAAGACTGAATCCTGCCATAACACCTTGCTCCTCCTCTCAGTTTTTCTACTGTCTATATAAATGACAAATGCTTCCCTTTAAATTCCCACTGTGTATTTATTTTGTAAGTTTATTGCACGAATGAATGAATGACATGTATGAATTGTCCAAATTATGGTTATAATGAACGCCATTTTTGACCAAAATGATCCAGTTATCTTCACTTTGATGCTATTTAGATAAGTGGGTTATTATTCATGGACTTACATACATACAGTTTTATTTTAGCATATCAAGTTTTGTCATTATTAGAGTATCTACATTCAGTGGTGGTGAACAGGCACGTAAAACTTTTTGGGATGTACAGTGTTATGTACAAGTCACAGCAACAGGCAGTGCTATTATAAAGCTGTATTGATTTCTCCCAGCCGCCTCAGGAGTCCGTCCAGTGTCTCCATGTTCTGTGATTTCTCCTCTAGCAGCTCATATCGCAGACTGGAGATGTCCTGCTTGATCTCTTTCAGCTCACCTGAATAAAAACAGGCACAAAGGTGAGAAAAATGTTCTTATTCACTAAACTATAGATCTGAAAAAAAAAAAACATTATTTTGGCACACAAAAACAACATGTTTTACCATTAATGGTGTATTGACCAACACATTTAGAGAAACCTTATTGTGATAATACATGCAACAATTCGCAGTCGTTTCAGCTTCGGTGTGGTTTTGTTGATTTTACCTTCTGTGATCTCGTCACTCTCTCTGTCTGCTTGGGCTTTGATGATGTAACGCTTTATCAGTTGCTTCATGATCTTCTACATCCAGTGATGGAAAAAAACAGGTACAATGAACAATAGTATCATGGGAAAAAATAATATGTAAAAGAATAACTGTACACTCAAATCTTGATTTAGCAAAAAGTAAATATTTTCAGAAAATTATTCTAATGCTAGATCAGCGTGTGAGAATTGCATTAGTCTTATCAATGTAACAGTGTAGTGTAATGCTGGGTAGTTATAGTGTAGCCATGCATCATATTTTATGAGCTTTTTTATTTGTGTGTAAAAATATATTCAGCAGATTCATTAGAAACTCCACTTGCAGTACATACAGCATGTGTTTGTCTGAAATGTAGTGAAATACACATGCATACCTGATATCTGCTTGGGCTGGTAGAACCACCATATCCTAAATTCTTGTCTGCTCCAAGCTAGAAGATTAAGCTGAAATTAATTTCACTAAACACAATTGTGACATTTGAGTTAAACTTTCTCTTTACAGCTGTGGTGCAGTAGTACAACCACCAGGGGGAGCCCTGGCTCTGCTTGTACAGCTACAGTACTGTGGTATTTGGAGTACTACTGTACAGGCTGAGAAGGCATCAGTGCTATCACCTAAGATGTATTTATATTCTAATGAAACATACGTGTGATACCTGATTGAGTTGTGTCTCGGTTTTCTGCTTATTGCGTCCGACCACGTACTGCAGGATCAGGGACCTGATACCTGTGACCAGTCTCAGCATAGACTTTGGACTGGGGACCAGGTTAAAGGGCACAGGGAGTGTCCTTCCCTCCTCAAAGTAGGAGAACCAGAGTTTAGCCCGAGCAAACTTCCACTCAACATCAGCATCATCCTAAAGTAAATATGGAAACAGGTAAGATGGAGAGGAAGAAGAAAAACAACTACCCTGTAGCTACCTGAGTTTGGTAAAAAGCTGCAATCAAAAGCACAAGATTTACTGAAAAGTTTGACATTTATTTGTTTTATTACTGAGAATTGGATGAGAAGATTGACACCACTCAAATTAACAGTTTTGTCCTGTTTTTCTGTGCTAATCAGCTGGTGGCTACAGCTTCATGTTAAGCCTTAAGCCATGAGAGTGTAATCAAAGCAATTCAAATGTATATGTAAGGGGTTGTCATAGATTAAAAATATTCTAGCTAGACTTTGTATATAAATTGTTATCATTGTAACGGCATACAATGTCATAGAAAGTGAGAAGCAAGATACCATTTGCTCATGACTTAAATTTATATTTGCAGATTTGATAGTTTAGAGGGGTCTCCTGATTTAGTTCTAGCAAAATGTAATGTTGATGGAGTTTCCATAACCTGGAAACCCCCAAGGCTGTTCATAAGTGACCTGTTAAACATTAGTGAATGACAATTGTGTGCATTTGTGAGCTTGTATCTGAAGCACATGATGATTTGGTATTTGACTAACAAACCTCAATCTCCTGGAAGGAACTGTTAATCATGGCGATGAGCATGTTGAGCAGCACTATCACCATGGTAACATTGTAAATACCATACAGCACGTAACCGATGTTCTCGATGAATTTGTGTCCGTTGTTGATGATGACAGATTTGACCTCAGACAGTCCAAATATAGCCCAGAACAGTGTTTTGAAGCTCTCCTCCAGGCTGGACCGACGCACAGAGAAGGAGAGAGAGGGAGATGAGAGAAAAGTTATTTTTTAGTTCAAACCAATGTTTAATTATTTGAACTGAGATGTTCTGTCAGATAAGCAGAAGAAGATGGATGGATGGAGATGCTCTGTGAGAAAATGTTTTAGGTTCAATTAGCTGTGTTTAAAAAAAGCTTCCATAAGATAAGTAATCCATCATATCATATTCATTTTTTTGTGCTATAAATGTGTGAAAATGCAGTTGTAAGCTTTTGCAAAGCAACAGAGCCCCAAGGTAAAAGTAAGGGGTCATAATATGATTAAAAGGTTGCAGTGTGAAATGAATATTAAGGTAGCAAAATGCACAAGCCTGTGTGAACAAACACAGATGTGCACAGTAAATGTCTCACGTGGTGAAGGCATCATTCTGCTTCGCCCCCAGGTAGTAAGAGTACAGGTTGAACATGCCAATCATGAATGCCAGAAAGACCAAGATGAAGATGACCATGAACTTGAAGATATCCTTGACTGTCCTCCCTAAGGAGATCTGCAGTGGACCAAAGCTCTCGTTGGCTGGGAGGATGTAAGCAATCCGAGAAAAGCTCAGCACCACTGCAACGGCGTACAGGCCCTCTGAAACCAGCTGGGGATCTGACGGCACCCAGTAGATACGTGCTACAAAAACAACGTCGGTCGGTCAGTAAATCACAATAATCCCACTCTAAGTAGATTTACTGTACTACTTGTTGAAAGGAAAGCATTACAGAGTAACCTGCAGTTAAGCTTTTAAGCCAGTTATAAAAGGATATCCAGCCCATACCAGCAAACTGCCCCCTCTACACACACACACACACACACTCACACACACATTGTAACAGGGCCACTGGATGCCTGGGCTGAAGTGAAGGAGATTCGCATACTTACCTAGTGTAAAGTAGTGTATCTCAGGGGGCAGTGTGATATTAAGCAGCGTTGTGTAGTGCATATGCACATAGGTCTGGGCTAGGTTAGCGTGTCTCAGAGCAGAAAAGCGGCAGCTGAAGGAGGCAAGGAAGATCGCCAGCATCCCAAAGTCCAAGAAGTTCCATGGTTCCACCAGGTATTCCCCCGGTCCTTGGATCCAGATCTCCTTCACTTCAGCCCAGATCATACCTGCAGCAGCACAAGTGATGTAATTCATAGGATGACATAATGTTTTGAAGATGAATTTCATCCTTCATCATAATTGTATGCTCACCTATGACCCATGAAATTATGAGGATCTCCATCCATGTGAAGGGTGTTGTGGTCATGCGGTAGAGAAGCAGTGGGTCAGAGGTGATGTGGGATCCTGCTGGGTGGTGATGGTGGGTCATGTTTGGCAAGAGGGTAGTGCCTGCAAAGCGGTCAGCAGCATTCAAGATGAGAAGACACAGGAAAATTGTGAAGGACGAGGCATGAGCCACAAACTTCATGAAGGGGCTGCGCATCACTTTCCCCACCTGAGCGAGAGAGATGAAACAATGGGAGGATTAAAATTTATGCATTTGGAAACTAATGTGAACAACATTTGTGAGCACAATTCTTACATACTCTGCTGCACGGAGCAATCCAGTAAGCCAGAGCCAATCCTGGCAGTCCTATCACCACTGCCAGGACCACCAGCAGTTTGATCCCAGTGGTCTGTTGCCTCAGGCCGGGCAGATTCTCATACCAGATGCTCAGCAGCTGCTGCTGGCAGTTAGGATGAGCCACAAACTATGTAAAGGGCGGCGAGAGAATGAGATAAGATACTGTACAGCAGTTTCCAGTCAATGTTTGTTCTTACTGTGATATGAGAACATACAGTTTAGGACCATAGATACACAGTGATAAGGAATCATCAGGTAGGGCTGGAACAAATAATAATGATTAATCTGGCAATAACCTTTGTGATCAATTATTTAAATCTCAGGGTTTCCTTAAATTCATCAAGGAGGAAAGTTTTCATTCACTGCCACAGCTGCAGTGCAACATAAATCCGTGACATGGAATAAAAACAAGTGATTAAATGTTCACGGTCAGTGTTATCCAGGTCACATGATGTGAAATAAGTGGCTGGCTGCTATAGTAGGTTGAAAATCAGTCTTAAAACTTGACATTGATCTTGTTTTGCTGTTGATGATTTTGATGTTTATGAGCATACAGACCTTTTTGAGTTCATATTTGATGGCTAATTTGAGCCGCATGAGGGAGGGGCGACCTGGTAGGTCATAGCTGTCTTCGCAGTCACCTTCTCCACTCAGTATGGCATCCACCTCCTCTGTGCTGCGACACAGATCCAGAAGGCCCACCATATAGTCCTTACACTGGCCCGACAGACGGCAGTAGTCGTTCTACGAACACGATGAGGACAAATGTGCATTAATGTGTGACACATCTGAGATGCTTTGCGGTAGATGTGGTCTAATGCTGGGGTTACTTATGAGCTAATGGAGGTGTGAAGTGACAGAAATCATTTATGTGACTAGTCACAGTAGCTTAACTAACTCTACAAAGCTGTCACAATTAAACATAGCACTGACACCAGCTCTAAAAAAGTTAGCAAACTTGTAAAGTTATTATAGTGCAACATAAAATTGCCTGTGTACCAAAAAACATGGTTGTGTACTTGACAGTAAGCTGGTTCTCAGGGCCAACAGCAGGTTGGATTTATGTTTCCATCGTTGTGTTTTCAGTCCCCAGTGCTTTGTGTGTTGATGACTCTGTCAGATCTTCCATGGTATTTGTTACCTTAAATTCTTTTTCAATATTAGCCAGCATGGCTAGTTCATTGCTGAGCTCCAGGGCTGCCAGTACTGGGTCCTCACTGGACAGGCAGAGGTAAGCAGGACTGGCAAGTCCTCTGTAGGCATTGATCCTGGATCGCGAGTGGCTGAAGGAGTCAAATTGCTGCTGGTAGTTGCAGGAGTCGCAGCCGCAGAAGTAGTCGTGAGGATGGTCGATGCGAGCCCCTTTACTCAGCAGTGTGTGCACTATTTCATATTCCTGGCAGTGTGCTGCAAGGATCACCGGAGTCACATCATGAGAAAACCTGTGGAAACATACACACAACAGGTAACAGGATGTAAGGTGATAATCAAAGGCTTGAACATAACAGAAATTCACATATTTGTTAAACATTTAACACTTTTTGTCATTATTTGTTTTCTCGTCTAAAGTTGGAAGACAGGAATGATACCACTGTCCTATGTATATTGCAATTATGTGACTCACCAGTAGCTGGCTAGCTTAGTAGTTAGCTATGTTAGCACACAGACTGGAACAAGGGGGTTCTGTGGTGGGACCAGTTGCCAGTCAAGCCAAGACTTCAGGAAGTAGCGGGGCACCCTGTATCATCTCTGACTATAAACCTCAATCTGTTGTATGCAGTGGGCAATGAACCACCCTGTAAACTGCAGGGGTCATTCAGGAGGCCCCACATTTCAGGGAATTTAAATATTTATTGCTGCTGTTATACTGTTGTCAGAGGGCACAATATCGTTAGTCATGCCTTTAAAATATCTTACCTCGTCCCATCCTCATCGTAAGCATAGAAGTCATCCAACATGTCTGCTTGAGCAGGGCTCGCTGTCAGACGACGGGCATCTCTAAATGAAGGGTGACCCAACAGGGCCTCAGTGATACGAACATAACCTTTACCTGCAACACACACACAGACACAGCACAAAGCTGTTGGCGTGATCTAGGAACTAATCATTTAACAGATGTCAAATTTGATTGATCTTATAAGAAAATTGTAAGGTAACTATGATTACTGTCTTTTTGAAATACTTAAGTAATTAACTTATCATTTTTAAACTTGTTTAAAAAAACTGAAATTATCAAACTGAAGACTAGAAGAAAAAAGGTAATTATATTTGTTGTCCTTGTGTGGTCTGATTTTTTTTTCCTTTGCTGGTCTGGAAGCTGATTTTTAAGATGGTCTTATATCAAACAATGCAATGCAGACAATGTCTGTTACAGTGGGGCAAATAAGTATTTGATACGCCGCCGATTCTTCAACTTTTCCCACTTACAAAGAATGGACA